TTAGCATAACGCCAGACCTGCAGCCTCGCTTCTGCTTCCTCTCCCTTCTCCGTCTGCGCCGCCTCCCAGGCGACAACAATCCACGGAGAGCCCGGTGATCTTGCTATTTTGTCTGGGATGTTGCCCGGGCACCGAGGACCCACACCACCCAGGCCAAGGCCTGACAGGGCCAGAGGACCCGAGCCCCACCAGGCAGACACCAGGCCGAGCCGACACTCGCCCAAGCGCCCAGCCCCCGACTCCAAGGGCCCCAAGCGCGCCGGCAGGCAAGGGCACACCCCACCAGGGGGCTGCGCGATAGGGGCGCGATGCCAAGCACCCGCAGTTGTATCAAAGACGGGACAGTCCGAGTCTCGGCCTAACAAATACCCATTCATACACAGACACAATCACACAGTCCCAGCCTCATTCTCACACTCACTCACTCAAAGACATACAATAACGATACATTTCATTCTTATTCTCGATACGCACTCTATACCTCCCAGGTCCAAGACATGTACCCGCCCTCTACAGGGGGCAGCCCATGCCCAAACCCAGGAGGTAAACCCATTCATTCTCGAGCGGAGAAGAGCCAATATCCCAGACCACGCCCAGCCGACAGGACACCCGCCACCATGAAGAGGACACGCCACCGAACACCCCCACACACTGCCAACAACCAAGCACGCACCCCCAGCCGACCGCCCGCCAGGCCCCGGCAGCCACCCCGGCCAGCGGGCCAACCATGACACCCAAGAGCCAAGCTCAGGGGCTCCAAACAACCCCAGGGAGAGCACAGCGCCAGCACCGCCCACGGCAATCCCCCAGACCCCGAACCCCCACATAGTCCTGGTCAACACCTGACAGCCTGCCCTTCTCCCGGACCCCACCCCCGGAATGGCAGTCAGGGAACTGGGGGGGAGGAAAAAATAAAATAAAATAAGACCCCGACACATACACCCCCGCCCCTAGATGTGCTGTTGATGTGTGTTGTTGTATAGTGCCATTAAAAAGGAAAGAAGAAGGAGCAAAGGCTGGCATGATGCCAGTTTCCCCTCCACCCCAACTCTATCCAAACCCTAGTGTCTAAATGCAACCGTTGTAAGTGAGCACAGGCATAGGGGGTGAGAGTAAGGTCATCCCACCACCCATAGCCATGTGCCCACCTCAAGTTCCTATATGTGAATGTCATGAGGATGTTATGAATGAATGTCTAAGGTGTACAATAAAATTGAGTCCCAGGTGGCTATGGTCAACAGAGAAGTAAAATTGTTGCAGCACACCCGAGCCCAAACAACCCTAAATGTGTGGAATTGAAATGAAGAGGGTGGAGGTGCATGGTGAGCGATGGGGAGAAATAACTGTGAGAGCAATGCTCCCACAGGGAGTCAGCTCCCCCACTGACCCAACAGCCCCCCCCAATTCCCAAAGGTCCACCCAGGGATTGAGGCCAAGACACGTCTCCATCTGGACCGACCGCCAGGCCCGCTGAGCTCCAGACCAGAGAGGGACAGAGCCCCGAGGGCCGCCAGAAGCAGTACTATTAGCCTACACACCCGAGGGCCGCCAGGACCCCCACAAACCGCAGTCAGCCCGCCACCAGATGAAGCCAAACCCCACCAGGACGACCCGGCCAAGAGTGCCCGCCCAACCGCCGGCAAAGCCAGGAAGCACCGGGAGTGAGCCCCCACCACAGAAAAGGGGCCAGCCAGCCGGCCATGCACAGTCCCGGGCCGCCCCTAAGGACATCCACCCCATCCCCACCCCAGAAGAAATACTACACCCACCCCTCATTCGGACATCTCTCAAAACACATAGCACACTAGACACCTAGGCTGGGTCAAACTACCCCCTCTTAGGGGCCACTGGTCACGCCCCCAAACACCCAACCCCCCAGCCCATGAACCCACAACCCACCAGCGAGCCGAAGGCCCCCGCCCAGAACCAGAGCGCAAGCCGGCCCAGAGCCCGGCAATCCGCCCGCCAGATCCCAAGATCCCCGATCCCCACAGGCCCAAGCCCGGGGGCGACAAGCCCCCAGAACCCCAAGCCCCCGCGCCCACCCCGAACCCACACCAGCACAGCCAGGCTACCAGCTCGGTGACCCACGACCGCCGCCACAGACCACCTGAGGGCCCGCATGCAGCCACCAGCAGACATCCCCCAGAACCATCCAGGCCCTCCCCAGAGGGAAAGCAGTGCCCCCCTGCCCAGGTACCCCCAAGAGCCCAGCCCCCGGCAACCCCCCCC